TTGTACCTTAGATGAAGGTTTACGGAACAAATAGTTTCTCATTAAACAGTTAGTACACATATTGCCCTATGACAATGGTTAACAACCCCATGACAAGTCAACTCTTATGGAATCTTGAACTAACTAAATTGCATATTTAATGAATATCATTCAGTATATGTCCCTAAAGTGAAAACTTAAATTTATCATGTAAATGACTTGTTTCTTTTAAAAAAAAGTATACTTTTAAAACACTGTAAGAGTACATATCCAAAAGAGACACCATAAATTCTGTTTCCTGTTCTCTACTTAAATATAGGAGACCCTTAGATACTTTTCAACTCCTAATGCTCTAGTAAATAAAATGTAACAAAACCTTTACAATTAGGAAGCATTTGAAAGCTAAAAGTACAGCTAAAAATATAGGATAAGTTAATGAATATATAAAAGATCAGATGGCAGTGACAGTGTATTTGTATTAGTTATACACGAAATAATTGTTTGTGCATTTAAATGCAATTGAATGTTACACATATGTACAGACATAGCTACTATATTTCATAGCTTGATATAAAGTGTTAGGAGTTAAATTTCAAAGTAACCTTTATATTGTTTGCTACTTTTTTGTTGTAGAAAAGATATTCCCCAACAACCTATCTACATATGGATATGACAGAGAATTTTGGCTACCACTACAGAGTAGATTAAATGATCTATTAATTACTTCATATATTAATATTTACATGTAAATATATCCTAGCTTTCACACACACAGCAGAAGTGTGGAAATGAATGTAGTTTGTATTGAACTGAGTTCAGAAAGCATATTGTAGTAATTAAATTCAGTTTTTTTTTTTTTAACAAAGCATTTTTATAACTACAATTGCTGGATTCCAAGTACTTGTACTATAATTAAAACAACTGCTTGTTGTGAGCAAAATTTCCTTATATTGATATAAATTGATATAAGTACTTCTTTTTATCCGTTCGGCTATTGATAGGCACTTGGGTAGTTTCTGTATTGGAATGATCATGAATAGTACTGCTATGAACATTACTGTTGATGTCTTTTGGTGAGCAAATGTCTGAGTTGGGTACATACCTATATAAATGGTGGCATAGTCATACAATGAAATACTGTACGTCAATGAAAACATAAGAACTATAGCTGTATTTAGCAACATGTATGAATTGCATAAATATAATGTGTAGTGAAAGAAGCTAGAGGCAAAAGAATACATATTGTTTGATTTTATTTATATAAAGTTCAAATCTTTGTTGTTAGAAGTCAGGATAGTGTTTTACCCTTAAATGGGTAGCACTAGAAGAGGACATGAAGAGGGACTTCTGTTGTGTTTGTAATGTTTTGTACCTTGAACAGATGTGTTCCCTTTGGGAAAATTCATCACACTCTACGGTTATAATATGTTCACTTTCATATATATGTGTATGTGTGTGTAATACTTCAGTAAAACATTTACTTAAAAGTATTAGAGTGCTGTAATCCCTGCTTTAAAAGAACTGAACTTAGTTAAGGAGCAGTAAACATCAGGCTGAGTAAAACAAGTGATGTACAAAGAGCTTTGGGTGAGCAAAGGTTGGAACCATGAATTTCATCAAGGTGTATGTGGGAAGACAAAATTATAAGTCATTATAATACCTTTAATATTACCTTTTGCCATAGCACCAGGTACTTTTATAGCATAAAACTCTGAAGTTCTTTGTTTTTGATTAATAGAATCCCCAAAATTAAATAATTTCAAGATGAAGAGGCTAAGCCCCTTTTAACAGCTGTTGTTGTCATACCTGATGATGAAACTAGAACATTGCTTAAGAGAGAGAAATTATATTTCCAGACATAAAAACTCAATTTTTAAATATTTTGAGTTACTGCAAGTTGAAAATGACAATTAAAATATGTAAACATTATTAAAATACAATATCAGCACTGAGTTATACATATAAAATTTTTTATCAGTAATTTTACTGATGAACCTATGGAATATCAGGTAACAAACATCAAGACACGTTTGGCACCTATCAAATTGACAAAAAAGTGAAAGTCTGATATCACCAAATATTTATGTAGGGAAATGAGAACTCCTTTATACATCTCTAGTGGCAAAGTAGTACAGTCACTTTGAAGAGCAATTACATAATACCTAGTAATTTAAAAAATGTACATTCCCTATGGCTCTGTGGTTGATGTTTCTAGGTATCAACACCAGAGAATGGTGTACATGTACAGGGTGATCATTACATTTGTAATAGTGAAAAAGTGAAACAGTATGGCACTGTATCCTAACTAGATAATTAAACAGATTTATTTATACACTGAGACATCATACAGCAGTCAAAGTGTAAGAGTTAGATTTTCATGTTATCAACATAAATAAGTTTCATAAATGTGGTAACAAAAAAAAAACAAGTTGCAAAATGATGTGGACAGTTTGGTAAAAATTTTGTAAAATTTTACAACAGAACAATATTATATGTTTTATGTAATAAAAGTAGAAAATCATATTGGGGGTACCTCTGAGGATGAAAAGAAGAGGAAAATGTGGGTAGATAGGGCTTTAGCTGAGTTTATAATTAACATTTATAAAAAAGAGATGAAACAAGGTGAAATTTTAACATCTGATAAATCTGGGCTGAGTATATTGTTGTCGTTAGGTGCCGTCGAGTCAGTTCTGACTCGTAGTGACCCTGTGCACAACAGAACGAAACACTACGCAGTCTTGCGCCATCCTCACAATCGTTGCTGTCTTTGAGCCCATTGTTGCAATCACTTTGTCAGTCTATCTCCTTGAGGGTCCTCCTCTTCCCTGATCCTCTACTGAGTACAGGAGTATCATTTTTTGTTCTTTTCTATAAACTGAAATGTTTCTTAGTTAAATAATTTAAAATGTTATTTTTAAAAGATTAGCTAGCAATGAGAAGGAAAAAATATCTAACTGGTTTAACATTTTTATTTAATCCTTCTTTCTTGGATATCTATCTGATGAAACAGAGACATGCAGGAATAGTCTGGTCTATTCAAACAAAAGCTATATTTAGGAAAAAATAAACATATCAGAGTCATTTTCTAAACATGGTAAAGAACTTAAAGAGGCAAGTTTTTTTTTATATGTTTACCAAAGTAAATAATAATGCTACCTTTCAAAACTGTGTATTTTTAACACAGAAACATAGTAAAAGTAACAGCACTGAGATCTTTTATAAATGCACAATGGAGTTTCATAATCCATTGATTCTATTTGTGTGACTTTGAATAGAGGTCAAGCATTTTTAATACATTGAAGTTCTATGCATTACATAAATTTTTGCAAGAATCATTCTTCCAACATTTTAAAATAACACTTCAGTGTAGCTTTAAGCAGCAGGAAAATAATATATATCTTTGCTAAGTTCATTGTTCTGTAAAAGTTATTTAAATCAGAAAGGAAAACATTTTGTATTGAAACTATTGTTTTAGCTTTTAGCATCTACTCAATCATATCGAATGTTTTACATTATCAAAGGCTAATTCTCTACTGTGTATAAAAGAATAACTAAAATAACTAAATAAATAAAACAGATTTTTATAGTGTTCCATTAAGTTTATCAAGATAGCGTACCTTCCTTCTTACTTTGGGGCTTCTCTTTTTCAAGTGGCTGTAGCTGTGTCCTAATTAACTATTCTAGCTATTTAAACAGTTTTGCTGAATCATATTAAGCCCTGGTTATCTCTGTAAACATGTTCTGTCAACCCAGTCAAAACATACTTGTTGGAATATCTTGTCCAAGTGCTTATAATAGTAGAATTTTCTTATCACAATCATTCATTGTAGGTTAAAGGACTTTTTTGTCTTCTTGCATGGTTTGTAAAAAAATAGAAGTGAGTAAGTTTTGTTTTGTTGTTTTTCCTTTGTCTAAGATTATTTCTCTGCCTCTAGAAAAGGTGGTAATGTTGCATGGGCACAAGAACAGAATCGTGGAGGGAGATTTAATGTTTGAAGTCATTGTTTATGTTTAATGTTAGTTTTAACTTCTTTTTAGTGTTCTATATATTTTGTTAGGAATTTAAATTTTTCTAAATTAACACAAAATTATAATAGAATTATTTTATGTTAAATACTCATAGAATCAAAAATTCTAATTATTGTTCAGACTCTCAGCAGCAACTCTTTGTCAGTTTTTGTTTTCTCTATAACCTTAGCAGCTGTTTTTTTCCTTACCTATTTCTGTTTTTACAACCTCCTCATTTCAGAGATTAGGAATAGTCTAGCTATATTTAAATGCGACCCAAATTTACTTACCACTGAGATTTAGGAAACTTTTCCTCCTACATGTTAAAAATACGAGCAATAACAACAATAATTAGGTGTTAATCTGTAAAATTATTAGGTTCACTGTTGTTACTTTTAATAATAATTTAACTCAAAAACAAAATTAAGAAGACTGAAACATTTTCATAGCTTATAAAGTATTTGTTCAGGGAAAAAATACAATATAATTCCTTTCTTCTGCAGGGATTGACCTAGAGGTTTGGGGGAAGAAAGTTAATACTATTTGAAATTACCATTAACTTTGTAAAATTCAGTTTTGCTGATGGATATATTCCCAGGAGATCATGTTGTTAAATTAAAAAGTTTAGTAAACCAAAACCGTTGAACCCATTGCCATCTAGTCAATTCCGACTTATCGCGACCCTATAGGACAGAGTAGAACTGCCCCATAGGGCTTCCAAAGCTGTAACTTTTTATGGAAGCAGTCTGTTACATCTTTCTCCCTTGGAGTGGCTGAAAGGTTTGAACTGTAGATCTTTTGGTTAGCAGCCAGGTGCTTAACCACTGCGCAACCAGGGCTCCTTTAAAAAAAAAAGCTTAGTAATGATTTTTTTTTATATTACTATTTTTACTCATTCATATATCACTATGATTTGTGTAAAGGAATTTCTAATAAAGCACAAATCACATACAGCAGATTTTTCAGTTTCTTTGAAATATCTGAAAGAATTTTTAATTCATGGATTCCAAAGACGAAAACAAAAAAATTTAATACATGTCTCTCTGTAACTACATTACACACACACAGTCAATAATTCGTGAAATCAGATTATATTATACAAAGTCCATTGTACAGTGATATTTAAAACTCAAAATACACATGGACAGTGAAGTGTGATGACTGAGCACAGACATGGGTTGGCTCGAACTGCATTTGAATTCTAATTCTGGCAAGTTGCTTTACCTTTCTGAGCCTTGGTTTTCTTACTACCTATAAAACAGCGATAATACCTATTTCAGTATATTGATTAAATGAGAATATATGTAAATTACTTAGCACAGTGTCCTGTACACACCATACACAGTAAGTCATCATTATTTTAGTTCAAACTTTTCCCCCTGAAAAAGAACTTGATAAATAACATTTGAGTTTGTAATCCAACTCTCAAAAGTTTATTTGATCCATAATGTAACTTAGAATAATATGAATAGTACCATAAAGTGAAGGAACCATTTGTAGCAGTGGTTTGATGGCAAAATACCATCAGAATTCCAATTTGAAAAACCAGAAACTGTTTTCCACTCCTAAAGTTCTAGGAGTAGAAGCAATAATTCTCTCTCTAGGCACTCTTCCATCTTTTGAGGAGTAGGAGTAAATATACCCTCATATCCAAGGCAGATGGTGGTGGTGCCAGAGGCTGGGACTTTTTGCACAGTGTTGCCTGCAAAGGGATTGACCATTAGGAATGAAGTTTCAATGACGGGAGGTGCTGAAACACAGTGTGTGAAAGGGGTGGAGTGGGGGTAGGTAGAGAGGGACAAGTGATCTAAAGTGAAGAGGTAGGCCAAGGTGATGGGCGTGTAGAACTTCTAATTTAAAAAAAAACCATGTCAACTGTACCTATTTCAAGAAATTACTATTGGTATTTTGTTGCAACTAGATAATGAATTCATCACATTTTATAATCCCAACCTTTTTTATTTTAAGCAAACTAGTTTGATTTCTAATGGCTTGCGTTAATATCATGGTACAGGGTAGTAGTACAGACAGACATTGAAGGCTATCAGCAAACCCATGTTAGAACTTTTATGATTATAGGAACTGAAGAATATTGTAAATATGTCTGATACTTATAACTACTTTGTTTTAGGCTGTCCGTAATAAAATTTCTGTCATGTGGTTCTTTATGGTCATAACTAAGGTCCGTGCATAATATTGAATGCTCTTAGAATATTAGGTTTGTGTCTTTTATGTTTTCTCTGTAAACCACATAATGACTAGGAAGTACCATCTATAATATAAGGATTTAATAGATATGTTAATAAATGACTGTGAAGATAATACACTTTATTTCATTAGTCTCTTGGCTTGTCATCTTTTATAGACCTGCATTCTTTTACATAACTTGCTAAGGAGCCTTTGGATATGAAAACACAGTGTACTCTTTTTATTATGAAAAGTTCAAAGACCTTCTGAATATATTAATGATACCACTATAACACTTCTTGACAATTATTCTACTGATGATGAGTTGTAAAGATGCCAGAATCAAACGGAGATGTGAATGCCAGTCTCCCTCACTACCTGAGTGACTTGCTACTTCACATCAGCCTTACAGCTTTCGCTTGGTGTGATTGAAATCTGTGCCTCAGCAAAATGACAAATTACCACAGACCCTGGTTCTTTGGGTCACAGTGAAAATAGTCACTGAATATCAAGGGTCTATATAAGGATTTTTAACCTGTATGGCTTCTGTCCTCAGAAGGTCTATGAAGCTCCTGAAATTATCTGCTACATTTTGCATATATTTGAATATACATTTTTCCTGAGAAGAAATCTGTAGCATATATGAGTACCATCAAGGCAGTAATCTGAGAAAAGTTAGGGACCAAAGGATTTGTAGCCTCTTCAAGGGTCTTTTACATAGAGTAGACATTTGCCATCTCATTTCCTTGATATACAGCATATACCTCTGGAGGAATGAAATTACCATGTGTGTGTATTTACCAGTGATTAAGAGCCGGTGGGGCAGTGGTTAAGAGCTCAGCTGCTAACCAAAAGATCGGCAGTTTGAATCCACCAGCTGTTCTCGGAAACCCTATGGGGCAGTTATGCTCTGTCCTGCAGGGTTGCTATGAGTCGGAATCGACTCAACGGCAGTGGGTTTGGTTTGGTTATTTGAATTTTACAGTTCAGAGAAAATTTGTGACCATTTCACAATATAATTGTATTTCTTTTTTATGTGAATTCATATTTTAATACAAATGCTACATTAATGAATGAAGGTGATCAATAAAATGTGAATAATACTTTTTATAATTTTTTTATATATGCTTGATTTCATTATTAAAGGGGAATAGAAGGAATTTTTCATATTTTACATTTAGCTCTTTATGAGATAGAATATTTTGAAACAAGTTTTGGATTGAATTTTTAATTTTTAAAAAATATTTGCTTTTTGAAATATTTATAGTAGTATTTCACCCTAATTCATTCTGTAAAAAAATAGGATCTTATCATACAGTAAATAGTAGTACAATATAAAGGGATAGCATAGATTATTGTGAGTGTATGCCAGTATTTTATTGTATTGAGCTAGACTTTATGATAGGGTCAGTCTTCTTTAACGCTTTAGCTGTTGCTTCCTTTGTGTTGCCTACGGAAAGCAAACTTCCTAGAAAGTGAAACTATAAGAGAAAGAAATGAATAAGAGCAAAATTAGAACACATAATTGCAATCTAACCTTAATTTATGTTTTTGAACGAGTAATTTATTTCAAAATTACAGAACCCACTGACATGAAATTTACCACTTATATTGATGAGCAAGTGGAGAGTATATACATTTCTATAGAACTACTTCGCTGATTTAGGAATTAAATTTTTGAAAACAAAATTTTTCATTCTGTCACCAGAGAAAGGAAACGCATTGGTAATGTTAATTAATAAATATACTAGAATTAACAGCCATTTGTTGGGTGTTTATTAACAAAACCAATTGTTGTCAAGTCAACTCTGACTTATGACAACACCATGTGTGTCAGAGTAGAAATATACTCCATAGGGTTTTCAGTGGCTGTTTTTTTTGATGTAGGTCACCGGTCCTTTCTTCCTAGATGCCTCTGGGTGGACTTGAACCTCCAACCTTTCATTTAGCAGCTGAGCACATTAAGTACCACCCAGAGACTACCCTATTATATAGGCACTTTTAATAAACATTTTACATATCACCTCATTTGATCTTCACAGCTGTATGTGGTAAATAATAATATTGCCATTTTGATGAGGAAACTGAAGCACAAAGAAGTTAAATAACTTATTCAAGATGTTCTGGGTGACCTTCAAAACTAGGTGCTGAATATTTATTAAATCAAATTGCATTGAAATCTGTGAATCTCTGATCCTTTCCTATTTTTATCATTTTCCCATTTATCTTTGGTTAAATTATGACCTCAGGATTCCAGGCCTTGATACATATAACATACGGAAGTGCACCCAGTGAAGTATTTGTGACAGTGTTTTCTGCAGTGATTCTTTTTAAAAATTAAATAAAATAATAAATTTAAAAAGAAATTTAAAAATAAAAAGTGTGGAGCAAGCATTTATTATAACATTAAGAAGAAATATCTCCTTTTATAATGCTATGTAAAAGCTAAATGAAGTAGACTTCTATACTTCCACTCCTACTCATTAATCACCAGTTACTGGGCTGGAGATTGACTGAAATGTTGGAGGTTTCTTCTGTTCATCCTTCTATACCAGTAGAAAAGGGTACTCATTTTTCTTAATAGTTGGGTTGTTATCACTAGTAAATAATCCTTAATATAGTTGTCTTATTATTTTGGTTTGGTTTCTTGGGAGAGAAAATGTATTTTATAGGTATACCATAATTATACTTTCGTTGTCTCTCATTTTGTCTTAAGGTGTCAGCCTCATTTTTAAACAGTGGTTAATTGTGCAAATAGATGTCAAGTTTGTATGTTATAGAATATGTGAAAAATAACGTTGTTTAGTCAGCATTTTACAAAGATCTAAGTATACAAAGAAAGTTTATTTACATTAAAAATAATATATCTGGATATTTTAAACGTTATAACTGGTATTAATGTATTATGGTCACGTTCATTTAGTTGAGGGGAATATGATAGAAAATAATATGAAGTCATGACCTGCTATATCTAAAAATAATTGAGCAATTTAAAAAAATGTTAGTGAAGATTATATTAAATCTTTTGTTTATATAGGTATAGTACTTAATTTGAAAATAAATAGCATTTTCCTTATTCTCACTTGTTTCTAATCATTATTTTAATATTGCCTATTTGTAGTCAGTATAGAGAGTTTTTTATTATTTTAAATAAAGATTTCCTTTTTTGGAGAAAAATTTGGAATGAATATTGGAAGATATACTGAGTGTTTGGAAGAAAAGCAACTTTTTTCCTTCCTGACTTGAGGTCAGAATAGAAAAGCTGCTCCTGAAGTTGCCTCCTGTGGGAAAGGAAGAGCCTTATCATTGACAGAATTTGATATAAAGAGGACAGTTGTTTTGAAGTAAGACAACCCAGAGCATTACAGTACTGATGATTTTCTCCAGTTAAGCAGATTAGAATTTTAATCCTAAAAAGAACACAGTATCCAATGTTTTTGTGTACAAAAGAAGTAT